CCGGCATCAGAATCTACCATATGCCTCTATGTTAAATGCATAGTGATAGGTACCAGGTTTTTGGGTGTGTGCCGAGAGAGGGGAAAAGACTTGCGTGGGCCTAAAAAGGCCATGCGGAATATTGGAATGTAGTATGAAAGGTTGTATTACTTTGACCCTCATATATTAGAAATTTGACGTATGTAATTGCCCAACTGTGGGGCCGAAATTGTCATAGTGCCCGTAAACGTATGGAGTGAAGGCTTGGTGAGGGCCATGTGTAGAGGTATCGTGGTGGAAGGCAGAGTGCTTAATGTTAGCTCTGGGCTGCTGGATGGAGAAATAGGGCTGTATGAGGGGTATGGATGTATGGAACGAACAAAGAATGGAACAAACAAAGTAGGGGTGAAGGATTCCTTTGGAGACCCAGCCCTGGCTGGTGTGTTGGGTATTTTGTCCACCGTTAGACCGATTATTGGGATGGATTCTTGTGATATTCTGAAAGAAATAATGATTTGAATAAGTAAGGTGTCGTAGAGGTGGGGATGAGACCTTCAGAGAACTGGCCTGCTAGCTAGTGCCAAGGCGAAGAATTTAACTAGACCGAGTGACAGGTGAGGCCCTGCTAGTGCCAAGTGGTGGAGAGAGGCTCTACCTATGATTTGGGCCGACGGAATTTTGTGGCCACTTGAACGAGGTGGCAGGATGTTGGCCTCTCGGTGATCTTAAGAGATTCAAAACGTGTGGCCGAGACTTGGGAAGCCCGAACCATAGCCCTAAAGAAGGGCAAGCGAGGTGGCTAACTATGATTTGGTCGTGGGGCTGAACCTCCGTGTATGAGGTGGGGGTGTAGAACTCGCAGGACCATTGTATTACTTAGGGTAGCTAAGGCCAGTGCCTAACCCTCAATGAAAGTTCACTAGCCTGATGGGGCTGGTCTCTTAGAATGGTGTAATTTAACGTATGTATATACTTAATTTTGAGTATTGTCCTATTCCTTTGGTCAACGCTAAGGAAGATTTCGATATATATTTGCTTCCGCAGGGACAGGGTCCAGTGGAGATATCCTAAGGGTAATACAGATGCTAGAGGGCCTGAGGCGTGCCTCTGGTATGCCAAATGTAAAAATGTCAAACGTATGGGTAAAGTGTAATAATTAAATGTAACGTATGAACCCGAGTACGACGAGGGACCTGAACGTAGGTCCGTAAGTAGAGACAAGCCCCCCATGGTTCCAATAATTGTGACATTTACATGATACGAAGGCGAAGTGAGGCCTTGAGAAGAAACGTAATCATAGTGAGTAAGATTTACAATACCTGAAACTGAAATGCAGGGAACCAGGTAGTCTTGTTGGTGGTTGATGTCGTGTAACTTAGTGAAACTGCGGTGAAGACACAGGTCTGAGTGAAGAAATGTAGAAACAATATACAAGAAATGTACGGTTAAATAAGTAGTAGCGAGGTGGTGTAGGTTTGAGTAATTGATGTTCCAATCATAGTGAGGAATCTAAGACCTGGTCCGTTTGAAGTTTTGAGCCCACTTTGGAAGGTGGGGGGGCTAAATGAGGTTTAAATGAGGCCTCCAGGGAAAAAGAGAACTGGTAAACCTTCTTAACTGATACCGTAATACAGGGTATTGGGATACCACTTCTTGAAGACTGCTTGGAGGAAAGTAGTAGAACCTAAAAACAGTCTAAGGGTAAGGAACCGGTATATAAGGTCTTTTAAATTGCATTGGTGGTCTGTAATGACAAAGGACCGTATGGGCTTAACCTATGGGCATAGTGACTTTAGATGCATAGCAGATTAATACATTAGTGAAAGTAGAATAGACTAACCCTCCGGTTAAAAAGAAAGTGGCCAAACTGTGCCTTTAGGAAGATTACCTTGTGAAAAATAGGTGTCCCACAATTTTGTGACCATGGACGGGAATTTGTGAAACACATAATTTTTTAACCAGTGGTGACTTTAAGAGCCATATAATAAAACGTAACATCGTATTAGAAAAATAATGTAAGTGCTTGGTTTAAAAAATGCATAATTAGATATATTTACAGTAGATTAAATTTAAACGCTGTAGCCCCTTGCATTCAGTAAAACGAATGAACAAGAGTACTATAATAGAAAGAACTCCTGCATTCGGTAAATGGAACATACAAAAAGATTTAAACGAAAGCCAATTTAATAATCAGCTGCAGTCTGTAATGTGGAATTTAACTAAAGGTTTCACGAAAAGCCGTTTGAAAGTGTTCGGCTGTTTGAATGCATGAAAAAACAGACGAACGTAGGTCAAGTATGTACATATGGTAAATTGATTTAAACGAAAGTAAACGAAAACGTGTGTATTCCGCGTTCGGCTGTTAGTCGCACGAACGCGGAAGTACACGAACAGTGTAATTTCACGAATAGGTAAGTAATAAAGGGAGCCTATCCCCGCGTTTTTAGGCCCGAACGTGGGAAATAGCCGAACGCTATTTCCCACGTTATGCTTACGAGGACATGCCGGTCTCGTGACCAGAAGCCGAGTAGCAAAGTCGGGTAGAAGCCAGTGGACGGGCACGGAAGATGGAGGCAGGAGCTGCTGACGACGGACTGCTTGCTGGAGACTGACTTTGGCGGGAACAACGGACCGGAAGTGCTGGTTGCTATGGAGAAGGCAAACAGCTTGCACGACAAAGGTAAGTCTCCCCCCAACCCCTCCAGGTGTCTCAACCCTCTTCCCCCACCAGCACCTCCATGTGTCTCATCCACTCCCCAAACCCTCAATCCACCCCAGGCCTTCCATGTATCTCTCCCTAGTCTCCCTCTGTTCACCTCCATATTTGAGCAGACAGCATTATCCGGTCTGACAGGAAGTGCTTAATGCTCTCAGTGAGCACTTCCTGTCAGACTGTGCGGCCACACTACATGGAGTGATTGTCAGGAGGGGAGCACTGTATGCACCCCTCCTGCTAGTCGTCCGACTACTGCATGCCCCGGGCCAGTGTTGCCTTACATAGGCCCTAAAGTTATGTTGGCCCACGGGTACAGGGTATACTAATTTGGTATAAGGCAATCTCATGTAAAGATACCAAATTAGGGTGCCATGAAAGGGTTTCTTTTTGTTTTTTTTTTAATTCTTTATTTTTGTTGTGCATGTTATACATAGCAGTGACATACGCCACAACAGCGTGTCTAAGAATGTACTTAAATGGAACAGTGGCATGAGGAATTGCACATTTTTGTATAATTGTAACAATCATCAGCTTGGCTAAACAGTGAAGTCATTAATATAGAATGAAAAGGTAGCTTATTTTAACAATCAGAACAGAAAATAACCTCGCTAGTGTTTCATGTTAGCTAGTTTTGAGTGACATAGAATAACGTATGAATCATTGATTCAGGCTAGTTCTAGCTATTATACAAGGGTGGATAACATATGATTAGTTTACTGTCAGCACTAAAGTGTAGTAGTAACAGGCTGAGTGTATGTGCTTATTGGCTACGTGCCATATATAGGCGATATTATGAAACAAGGGAGGCTATCAAGTGCTTCATTAATTAACCCTGTAGTGTGAAGGCAAGTCTCCCCTTTAAACAATAGGTGTGTGCTACGCTGAAGGTTAAGCTTATCATACTGTTGCAGTTAATCAAGTTCAGATGGGTGTCAGGTGGCAGGTGTTAAGATGCTGTGTTTCGGAATCAGTCCAGGCGACAAGCAATTAACCACCTAAGAGAGTGTTGGTTGGTTTGCCTGCAGGGTGCCCAGAGTAGTTCAGCCGATGCCTATCGGGTACTGGGTACAGTCCAGGAGTGAGTGGTAGTCCTGCATGGCAAAGCTCCTAGGCACTGGCAGGTAGGTCGGTTCCTCGATTGCTTTTGCAGGAGTCCCTTTCCACTTTTCCGGCTGTAGTTGTGACCTTTGCTGGGTTGCTCGCTGGGGTCTCGTTGTGCATCTCATCGCACCGCGGTATCGGCTGGCTGGGTTTTGAACCGCTCTTCGCCCCCCCAGTTGGTCCCACGGTTTACAGCGTTTTACGGTAGTTGGGTTATGAACCTTCTTGCGGGTATTGCCGTCGGAAGCGTGGGGTGTACTTTGCGGGGTAGGCCTCTCGCTCTGTCTTGTGGCCGACATATGCTTGCGTGCAAGGCCGGTCTCTGCTTGTCTCCTCGGCTTGGTCTGTTTTATTGGCAGGCCTTCGCTTTTGTGTTGGCGCCCAGTTCTTGCTTTCTTTTCTCTGTGAGAATTGCTTTGAAGGCAGGAGCGTGCGGGTGGCAGTGTCGGCTTTTGCTCTTTTGGGACTCGCTTTAGGGCTTGATATGTGTCTAGTTTTTCCCAGAAGGCTTCAAAGATGGCATTCAGCCTTGCCTCTGTGTCATCCCTGGGAAATGTGTCGGGTTGTCCATTTGCTGTTGCCGCCATTTTGATATTCGCTAACTCGGTCTGCCTGCGCCATCCCTTGTCTCGCATGGGCACTCCTGGGACCGGGATAACCCCCGCCGGTCCATAGGGGGGGGAACGAGGGCTTATGTGCCCGTTGCCAGCTTTGGAGGGCTGCGGGGGAGCGGCCGCCTCCCCCATGCTGCCCTTGCTTGTAGGCCGCAGGTGTCCCTCCTCTGTGTCTCGCCAGTTGGGTCGTTCATTTGGTGTCTGCTGGTGCCCCATGGGGTCACCTCTCCGCATGTGGCACTTTTATGTCAGCTATCCGCCGTTATTGGTCTGATTTAGCGTGTTTTCTGGCAACCAGAGCAGGAGCAACTCTATCCTGCGACCGTTCGCCTCTGCGGTCAGGCCCCGCCCCTCCATGAAAGGGTTTTTAATTTGATTATTGGCTGTTTAGTAGACAGCTCCCTACTTTGGCATCCTGATATCTATGGTAATCTCACATAAGAATAGCAAATAAGGGAGCCATCTACTACATCTAATTAATATATATATATATACATATATATATATATATATACACACACACACACACACACACACACACACACACACACACACTGCAATACATCAATTTACAGACATGGTATCCGGCCATCATACGGAAAAATTTGATCATTCTACATGATAGGTCATTAAACATATTTTACATCTTGTACCATCTACTGTTATGTATGCTGTTTTGTCTGTAAAAAAACAAAACCCAAGAAGAACTGCCTTAGAGGTTTATTCACTAAACACAAAGCTGGAGTAAACTGCAAAATTTAGGTTAAAAAAAGTCGATCTAAAAATGTTCTCTAACTCATCTATTGACAAAGTTTGGTATTTTAGCCTAAGTGGATTTGAATCTTTGAATCCACTACAATTCAGAGTTCATTGAATAGACCTGTCAGGGTTCACTAAACTCCAAATGGTACTGAATTCAAATCAGAATTACAAGAGTAATACAAAAATAGGTTATTTGGACTAATTTTCCAACTCAGTTTAGGTTTACAATTAGGATTTAAATTCTATATAATTCAGAGATTAGTGAATTATCTTATAAAGCAGATTTCTGCAACCTACGGCCTACTGGCTCACCAGGCCATCCCCCTGCAAAATACCGGGCTGTTATTTGCCAACATTAAAATAATGGGCACCGGCCTAAATTGTAGAACTGTCAAGCCCCCTGGAGTCACGAGCATTGTCGCAGCAGTATTAGTTCTGACACTAACCAAAAAGGGAATAGTGCATACGAATCAGCACCTGCGTGAAACAGTTGCGCTCAAGCAACAAACCTGCACACTCCAGCCAACACACTAAAGTGTCAAAAGAGTGAAAGACAAGCAGGCACTAGCACAGCATGCTTGCCACATCTGACAGCTCTGTGGAACTAACAGAAGCAGAAGAAGAAATCCTCCCTGGCTTTCTAATTGACAATCAGGGAGGAGCTTCTGCCCCCAATGATGAAAGTGGCGATTTCTATTAAAATCTGTACTTTTATAAACTGTCCCAAATGTAACAGTCATATAAAGCACTACAGCAAGATGAAGGGTTGTATGTTTATGGATGGTTATTTTAATTTGGAGAACTTTTGCTTGCATCCACAGTACCAGTTCTTCACTGAAATCTAGAATACAGTCCATTCAGATTAGCACAGAACATTCATTACAGTACTTGTCAGGCAATGGGGGCATAGTTTCCCCATGTAAGGTCGACAGGCTATGGTTGGTGTATAGCTGCAGCTAATTTTGTAAATTAGTAAAACAATTAGAAATAGATTGAAGGTAGACAGGAGAATTCCATGTCCCTAATCTCAGCACGGAAACAAAGTTGATGTTATTAGTTACGGTATCTCTTTACCAAGCCGCTTAATTAGTGTTTAAACAACATCTGAGTCTACAGTGAAAAGCTCATTGTACACCAAGGAACATCCTCCTAAATTGCTCTGTTGTATTGGAGTATCAAATAACATGTTTCAAAGTAACTATCACTGTCTAACACACACATAATGAGGGACTTAACATATCCAATTATGCTCAATTATGTGTTTAGATTAAATAGAAATGCTACCCAATGGCAGATAGCCAAGTTACATAACTTTTATCTTTATTGACAAGTTGACAACACAAAACACAAGAAAGATAATTGTTTAACGTTTTTATTAAAATTTCCATTAAAAGCGATTAAATACATTTGATACAACACACGCAACAAGCTAATACATGATAGCAACACATCACTCACAGAGCAACACCTTACTGAAGACTTAGAGACACTATAGTCACCAGAACCACTACAGCTTAATGTAGTGGTTCTGATGTCTATAGCCTGTCCCTGCAGACATTTCAATGTAAACTCTGCCTTTTCAGATAAAAGGCAGTGCTGTCTAGAAACACCTCTAGTGGCTTTCAATTAGTCAGCTACTGCATGAAGACACTCAACGCTCCCCATGAGGAGAAGCCAATTGGCGTAGTGCTGCGTTTTGCCGCACATGTTCAATAGCCTCACAATGAAAAGTATTGGATTAACTGAGATTATGATGATTTCAGCCATGGAGGCAGTGCCAGCCTTGGCGATGGAGAAAGGGTAAGTAAAACAACCTTTTTATTTCCAGTGAGGGAGGCCGGGGCCTTATACATTTATTCCAGAATTATAATGTTATGAATATATGTTTGTATTAGTTAGTATTCCTTTAAGAAAGTAATTTTAGGAGTAAAAGGAGTACATTGTGGGCCCAAGAAGAACTGCCTTAGAGGTTTATTCACTAAACACAAAGCTGGAGTAAACTGCAAAATTTAGGTTAAAAAAAGTCAATCTAAAAATGTTCTCTAACTCATCTATTGACAAAGTTTGGTATTTTAGCCTAAGTGGATTTGAATCTTTGAATCTACTACAATTCAGAGTTCATTGAATAGACCTGTCAGGGTTCACTAAACTCCAAATGGTACTGAATTCAAATCAGAATTGCAAGAGTAATACAAAAATAGGTTATTTGGACTAATTTTCCAACTCAGTTTAGGTTTACAATTAGGATTTAAATTCTATATAATTCAGAGATTAGTGAATTATCTTATAAAGCAGATTTCTGCAACCTACGGCCTACTGGCTCACCAGGCCATCCCCCTGCAAAATACCAGGCTGTTATTTGCCAACATTAAAATAATGGGCACCGGCCTAAATTGTAGAACTGTGAGGGAGCATTGCATAGTCTGTCTCTGATAATGTCCCCTTGTAGTTCCTAAGCATTGTGGCACATAATATATATTTGGAGACAGATTGGAATTTGGAGACAGATTGAGGCTACGATGGCCTTTATCTATCTCCATTTACACTTACTCCCCCAGTCACGCTTTGACTGCCCTGGTGTATCTTGAACTGTGGAGGAGTGAACAGACTGTCTGTTCCTTCTCCACCTAGGTTTGGTGACGTATGAGTCTAGAGAGTCAGACTAAGGCTCTGACTCATCTTTACACTCACCAATATCAGGGCACTGGACAGCATAGCACCACATCTTTCTCTAAGGTACATGGCCTAGAACGGTCTTTTTATATATATATATATATATATATATATATGTGTGTGTTTCAGTATATGAAAGGCTCTGTTTGTACATACACTGTGTATGGTTCAGTATTGGTGTATCACTGTTTGTGTATGGTTCAGTATCGGTGTATCACTGTTTGTGTATGAGCCAGTATCTATGCATATTTAGGATAGTTTCTGTGTGTGTGAGTGAGCGAGTGTGTGTGTCTGTGAATGAGCCTGTGATGGTGTGTCAGTGTGTATCCCCAATTCCAGGTACTATCAGTGTGTGTTGGGTCAGAAACAGATGGGTGGACTTTGGGGAACAACAAAAACAAAACAAGTTCTTCTTCTCCATGCTCCCTTATGCCACCATACCCTTTTACTAAGTAAACTCATGTCACCATACCCTTTCACCTTATGTGAAACTAAAAGAGAAGGGACAAGGATGTAAAGGACAGGGATGGGGTGGGGGGAAACAGTAATATTGCTAAAGGCAATGAGAATGATAGAGGAGGCATTCTGCTTAAGGAGGGGGCAAGGAGACACTACCATGAAAAGACACCTCTAGAGAAGGGAACATGGAGAAAGAATATATGAGAAGAGCAGTGTGCATGGGGAGACGAGGCATGACATGGATAAGAAAAGGAAGGGGCATAGGGAGAGGTAAAAAGGCTTTTAAAAAAATAAAAATAAGTTTTGATAATTCATCTAGTAGATAGCTCACTAATTTGGTATAAGGCAATCTCATATAAAGATACCAAATTAGGGTGCCATGAAAGGGTTTTTAATTTGATTATTGGCTGTTTAGTAGACAGCTCCCTACTTTGGCATCCTGATATCTATGGTAATCTCACATAAGAATAGCAAATAAGGGAGCCATCTACTACATCTAATTAATATATATATATATATATATATATATACACACACACACACACACACACACACACACAATGCAATACATCAATTTACAGACATGGTATCCGGCCATCATACGGAAAAATGTGATCATTCTACATGATGGGTCATTAAACATATTTTACATCTTGTACCATTTACTGTTATGTATGCTGTTTTGTCTGTAAAAAACAAAACCCTAAACATTTAATTCACAAATAAAAACAATATTGAAATTCTCCAGTTGGCAAACTAGCAGAGTTGGAGGACATTTCATTGTCAGCTACTTTAATGTAAAGTTTGCAGTTTAATTTTCAATTTTCTACAATTATTGGTTTAGTGAACAAGTCCCTCATAGTTATTCACCAAACCTTGAATTGTCTATGCAATATAGTCATAGGCAGTTTATAGATATTTAGACAGTTGAAATGTATTAAATTCAGCAAATGAGCTAAACAAAGATGCCTCCTACTGTACTGTCATACTGCCATGTGATATGGAATTATGCTTCCCTCTAGTGATTGTTTTAGGGAAAGGAACATCTTTAGATCTCTTTTGCTACTAGATGTTTCATTTGTTCACCAAATCCCATAACTGAAATCTGTAGGGAAGTCTTAACTAATCACTTATTGTACAGTGCTATGGAATCTGATGGCGCTATATAACTAATACAATAATAATAAACTTTCCCGCTCATGGCACTCCAAACTTATACTACCCGTTTACCGTAACTCTATAACAGTGTCGTACTCTGCCACTGCTGTGTCGTTTAAAAATGCACATTCAGCAACAATGCATGTTGTAAAGGCATCAGCAATGTACATCCAAACTGAATATGCTGGATATTAATCTTTTGTGTAATTATATTAAACTCCATTTAGAATGTAAGCTTGTTTTAGTTGTATCACTTAAAAAAAAGCTTTATAAATATGTTAAATAATTTAAAAGATTTATATCATACATAATGAAGCATAGATTATAGGAATAGAAAGGTTCTAGGAATATGATAAATGTAACTGAATGTCTCTAAAAGTACAAGTTGCCATTGTTTTTCATTGAAACATGCTTCATCATTATTACATTTTAGTATATATTTAGGGTCAGTGGGTTAGGTCTAGGGCAGGGATAGGCAACATTTGGCACTGCAGATGTTTTGGACTACACCTCCCATGATGCTTTGCCAGCATTATGGCCGTAAGAGCACTGTGGAAGATGTAGTCCACAACATCTGGAGTGCCGAAGGTTGCCTACCCCTGGTCTAGAGTTAGGGTATATTAGGGCAGCGCAGGAACACAAATGTCTGCCTAGGATTGGTGGGAGTTATGCTCCCAGCTAGCAGCTGCCATCATTAATTCAGTTTCTCGACGGTTTCTGCCTTCTCAGCTCCTGACCTGCAATATCATAAATAAGAGAGATGACTAGAGTGACAGCAGTTGGAAATAAGAGATGTTGTCCTAGTGCATGTCTCCCGGTAAACAGGGACATGTATGAATGGTGTCAATCAAAGCATGCATTACAGAGAATAACACATGGAAGACATCACACACCATGAAGGATGAGTGTTAAAGACACTGTAACATATACCCACACACATAACACATTCAGAGTATTGAGTGCTTTCTTAATCAAGGAAACGAGAGAGATCTTCCTTAATTTCAGCTTCATCCCAAGGACCATGGATGTTATCTTTAAAGAGTTGTAGCCGGATCAGACAATATGGGCACAGGAATGTCACAGAGAGGAGAAGCAAAGAGAAGAGCAAAGTCCCAACACTTGAGATGGTCATTAGCCCGGCCAAAGCAAACACAGCAAATAAAAATGTTACACATGTATATGTACGGGGAGTGTGAGCTCTAAGCTTCCTTTGCAGACTTGGCCAAAGTGCAAAAATTTGAATAGCAAAAGTCACCATTCCAAAGGCATGAAGAGAGCGAGGAAGGCGAGAGGCAAGGCAAACAGAAGCAAAGATGGCCATGTTTATGGAAAGTGTACTAGACACTACAGCAGCATTTGCCCCATAATCAAAGAAGACAAGATGTCCAAGAAGCATAAGGACTGACATGGCGTAAATTGTGTCTGTGCTGATAGATTCAGTCAATGTCTTGAGTATAGGAGAAAATCCATATGTAAAAGCTACAAATACCAATGCACTTTTGAGGTCATCCCAGCGAGTCCGTCCACTGTCCTTTCTCCCCACACCGTGGTCCACCAAATCGAACACCATATAACCAAGAAGTGTGAAGCCCAGTCCAATTTCACAAAGGTTCTGAGGGGACAGCAAGCCCTGGTCCATGTACCACCAAATAACACAGAAGACACAGACACTGCACAATTGCTGGATGACTACAGCTGATTCAAAGACTACCGCCCAATAGCTATACCGGCGCACATAGATGTTCTTTCTCAGCTCCTCCAAGAAGCTCTCATCAACATAATTGTCAGGGAAAGGCTGACGTTTGTATAAAACCTTCTTCCAGACTGGACAGAGACCTACTGGATCTGGTGGTGGGCTTTCTTTTCTCCATGCTAGGCTTGTATAGTGCCCAGTGCTTGGGCTTTGTAACACAGGGCTCATTTTTCTTTCTTACTGGGCAAAGAGTTTCTCAAAAATAGTGCTGACGTCCATTACCTGGAAAAGAAAATAGCACAATGTCACCAACTCTCAAACTTATTTATACTTTAAACATGACTCAAAATTTCCACACACTGTAAATATAGCCCTGGTGATTACTATGGCTTGCAGTGGCGAGCAACTTTTAAGGCCTGGATAGTAGCATAGGAGTTCAAATTTTAAGTCTTGATTTAAAGAAAAAATAAAAGTTACACATTTAAAAAGTTAGATTTGTTTAGTGATAAATGTGCAGCAAGTCTTGTCTACCTTTATTGTTCCATTAATCATTTGTTCTACAAATTGCAACAATTCATGAAATGGTAATGGTACAAAATCAGAAGATAATAGGCTTACAAAGAAAAGATGAGATTATTAAGTCTGAGATAATATTTACTGCTGTAAATTCTACCACTTTTCTGAATCTTATTGCCATTTTCAGAGATTGTCGTTCACCTTCTCGAACCCACACCACATTGGTAAAATTTAAACTGGGACTAATATCCAACAGGGCCAACCTGTGATAGAAGATTATATGTCCAGGGGTATTTGGAAAGAGGAGTGGAGCGCAGGGAATATTTATTTATGTCTACGTGGTAATGGACACCTTATCTGAGAGTAGGTGTGCATGTGTGTGTAATTTATCCTTTATTTTTGTGGAATGAAGAGATGTCCTACACAGGAGTTTGCACAAGTTTTGCAAAATCTGACCATAACGTATTTACTTTGTTTCCTCAAGGTGGCGATGTTAACTATTGACAGACTCCCCAGACAGCTTAGTTCTTTGCATCAGCCCAGAGGATACAACACAGGCCCTATGTACATAGATCACATCAAAAGGTAAGAGGTGCAGCCGAGAAATACAAGACTTGGTAATTGTGCTACGGTTATAGGTACCAAACTTTATTTCATAACTGTGTTCTTTTATTTTTGCAAAGCTTACGTTACAAACTCCGCAAACAAGTGTGCAGTGAACAGCAGTCACTATGCCCAGGTCAGAATCCCAGCCTACAGCATGATCTTCAGATCTTAGTGACTTCACTTTTGAAGCAGGACCAAGGAGAACAGGTATGTGGAAACGTAACCATAATGTAACAATATTTAATACAACACTCCTATACCTTTAAAGAAACACTTTCAGAAAGTATTTTTTTGAAAATGAAAGAAGGCACCACGCCATATCTTTAAAGTGGGTTTAATTACTGGAGTGCTCTGGTGTGTCCCTCTATTCATGGTTAAACAGTTTAACAAGGGTTCCTGGCCACTTGTGGCACACTCACTTCTGCTCAGTCTAACTCTGCCACCCACTCATGTACGGAATGGTATGGCCCATACCAATATGTAAGATACAGTGGGTAGCAATGATAGTCTGAGAGCGCACATGTGACCTGGGCAGCCTTTCACTTAAACCTATAGCCGCTTGCGTTACCAATAAAATAGTTTAACAGTGATTCGAAGGATGGTTCTAGGGCATTCCAGTCATCATAACCATTTCAATAAGATGATGTGGTTATGATGCCCTGAGTGTTCCTTTAACCCCTTAAGGACCAAACTTCTGGAATAAAAGGGAATCATGACATGTCACACGTCATGTGTCCTTAAGGGGTTAAGTATCGAATATATATATATATATATATATATATATATATATATATATATATATATATATATATATATATATATATAAATATATATATATATATTTGAAGTTAAATATACTGGAATGTCTCCTTTTAAATATATGTCCACAAAAATAATAATTTAACTGGGGGGAGGAAATAGGCACAAGGGAAATGCGAATGTGTAATCTGGCTCTGGACCCAGGGGTTAGGCAGGGGCCCCAGAACCATGAATTTGCTTCCCCATTTACTATCCCTATGTGATGACTGACAGCATGCTCCAAACTGGTAACATGACTAGGGCCCACTGGGACCTTTAATTTTTCACAGGCTCAAACTTTTCTTAGTGGAAGTGTTTTTAAGAATCAGTATTCAAAATATTGTGATTTCCATCTGTTAATACATTAAAACTAGCACTTTTAGATAAACGTATATGCAGTTCACATACATTTCAAGCTAAGCTGCATGTAAATGATATGTTTATAAGGTGCTGATCAATGTAACTTATTAGGTATACATGGGATTACTTTCAATGAAGTGCTCATTGATCCATTCACTGATCAGCCACAACATTAAAAACACCTGCTTCATACAGTGTAGGTGTCAAAACAGCTCTGATGAATTGAGGCATGGACTCCACAAGACCTCTGAATGTGTTCTGTGGTATCTGACATCCTTTAAGTCCTGCAAGTTGCAAGGTGGGACCTAAATGGATTGGATTTGTTGTCCCAGTACATCCCACAGATGCTCAATCAGATTGAGATGTCATGTTCCTCCTACTATTTCTGAACCATTTTTGCAGTGCAGCCTGGTACATTATCCTGCTGAAAGAGGCCACTGCCATCAAGGAACATTACTACCATGAAGGAATGCACATAGTTTGCAACAATCTTTAGATAGGTGTAAAATGCACATGAATGCCAGGACCAAAGGTTTACCAACAGAACATTGCCCATTGCTTAAAATTGCCTCAGTGCATCCTGCTACAATCTTTTCCCCAGGTAAACGGCGCACACGCACCCGGCCATTCACCTGATCTAAAAGAAAACATGATTTATCGGACCAGGAAAACTTCTTCCATTGCTTCATAGTCCAGTTCTGATGCTCACATCTCCATTGAAGGAGCTTTCAGCAGTGGACAGGTGTCAACATTGGCACTCTGACCAGTGTGTCTACACTGCCCCATATGTAGCAAACTGTGATGCACATTTTTGTTCGGACACCTTTCTCTCATGATCAGCATGTTTTTTGCTTCCAACACATGAAATTCAAGAACTGATTGTTCACTTGCTGACTAATATATTTCACCCCATGACAGTTGCCACAATATAATCAATGTTATACACTTTACTTGTCAGTGGTGTTAATATTGTGGTTTATCAGTGTATAAGCTTGTGAACCACTGTTATAGAACCTTCTCTCCTCTCTACTAACCTGAACATGGTGGTATGAACAGCACTGGCCACTAGGTGTCACTGTGCACTTAAACACACATCTGAGTTTTTCACTAAAGTGGATAATTGTTTATAACTGGCAATAGAATCACAAATTTACACGGTTATTAACTAAAGTGAGAATGCAGTGTTAATATAAAGTGAATTTCAAATTTAAGGTCAGATTAGCCAAATCGAAAGCATAGCTGACTAAGAGAATGTTTCCAGTTCGACTGCTTTTATCTTAAATTTGAAATGAAACCAGGACTAGCCAGTATAACTGAGCAGATAATACAGTCTAACTCAGCTATGTTTCCAGTCTAACAAGCTTAACTTACAAGGAGCAATACCTTGTCAATTCTTAACGGTTTAGACCTAGTAAATAACTCCAACCATGATTGATTTATTACAAATGACACCAGCGGTCTAAAATGATTGATATGCTAGCTATACCAATAGGAGTACATTGAGCGGAAGTAAATATAAAAACAACAAAGCGCTAAATCACCGAACATATTCTCTCTCCCAAACAATGATATTGTGTAATGTGCTTGTGCAACATATTGATATTTTAAAAAGAAGCTGTCACATTTGTGATTTACTGAAATGAAAATGTAAGGTGAATTCAAAGTGAGTTTCTAATTTAAGGTCAAAATTTGCCAATGCTTTCAGTTTGGCAACTCTAGCCTCAAATGTAAAAATTCACTTTGAATTCTCACTGTAGTAAATATTTTAGCAAATAAAGCTAGTTACTATATGTGTTGTGTTTGTGTATGGCTAACAAAATATATAAGATCTATGTGCTACATGGGGCATTACGGGGGGAAAAACTAGATTTATTATCTTACAATTTATTTATTTGGATTGTGGGAAACTGGTCAGAGAATTTTGGGAGAAATGGCTGTCTCTTCCTACACAGAACTTGTCTAAACATGAGCAGGATGTATTTCCTTTGTCCCTCTCGCTGATGGAAATGAAGGCAAAAGATCAGGAAAGTCATTTATCAGCTGCATTCCAACCACAACATGGACGACTGCTAAAGGCTGGGTGAGTCTTAAACTTTAGTACATCCGAGGGCGTAAACTGATGTATGTAGTATTATGGTATACAACTTTGTGTCACAAAGCCTGTATGGGTAGTTTTGGAATTTAAAAACAGTTCTTACATTTATTATTTTGGTCACTGCTCTTAAGACCTGCAATGTCAAAATTTTCTTCAGTCTTCCATCTTTTAAGAAGTCCCTGAAAACTCATATCGTCGCCATCTTCCTGTATGTCTTTCTTTACATAATTAGTGCATGCACAGTCCATTTATTCCATGCTACTGCCTTCCTACACTCATATTGTTAATCTCAGATATTCATCTTGATACAAATATCAGACCTGATGATTCCCTTTGTCTTATTCTTCCTCATACACCCTATTTTTCCACAGACTGTAAAATCCTTTAAGCATACCTTTATTCATTTCTTCTTTTCAAATCCATTTGTCATTTATTGCAGTTTTATATGCCCATTTGTCCTGCATATTGGGCCCACAAATCTTAGAAAACTATCCCTGGTGAACCCCAAATCTAAAATAAATTGGTATATCAGAGGTTGGGAGAAGGCAGGCTCTCTGTACCCCTGGTGGCCCATACCTGTCCTATTGGCTCACAAATACTGCTATTAAATAGAAGATGCTGGGATCCGACATGATTATCACTGTGCTCAGTGGCTTTAATATGGTGCACCTTGGATAGACAATAATAAACTGTTTTCTATACTGCCAAGAGTATGATGTCCTGCTCTTGTTAGTCACCTTGACCCATAGGTTTTTGACAAGTACTCTCCTCCAAGCACAAAAGCCAGTGGAAACAGTTGGATGGAAGATGAAAATCACAAATTATTAGTGCACAATTCCCTACGCCAAGCAGGAGCAGATCTTATAATTTCTTTCACAGTGCATTTCTATTTTTATTTATAGTCGTTGTTAGAACAGGGAGTAATCTTATGCTGTTGTCTGCCTGTAATGGGCGCTTAAAATGACACTATATTGTGACCACTTTATTTCATTGAAGTCTATAGACTGTAAACTCGTTTGAGCAGGGTCCTCTTCAACCTATCGTTCCTGTAAGTTTTCTTGTAATTGTCCTACAAGTCGTCCCCCCCCCCCCACTCATAATATTGTAAAGCACTACGGAATCTGTTGACACTATATAAATGGCGATAATAATAATAATAATAAAGTGGTCTGGGTGCAGTCCCCCTGTTGTTTTAGCCCTGCAATGTAAGACATTGCTATTTATTAGATACAGCGATATTTCCATTGCAGGGCTAAACACACCTCTAGTGGTTATGTTCCTGACAGTCAGTAGAGGCGCTTCTGCTATGAGAACCAATATAGACTAGATTATCACACGTCACCTCCTCTGAATGCTTCTCATAGAGCGAATTAGATTGGAGTAGTGCAGTGCTTGCCATGCATACACTTCTTGTTTCCAATGTTTCTCTGTAAGAAGCATTCGATTGGACAAAAACACAAAAAATTGATACCGGGGGGATAAGGGTGTAGGGTGAGTAGTGGGAGCCAGCACACAGTGAGCTGGAAAAAAGGTAAGTAAAAAACTTTTTTTTTTACACAAATTTAGTTTATTGGACTGTTAATATAAACAGGAAAGAGAATACTATAGTATTAGGAATACATGTTTGCATACCTAACTCTATAGTGTTCCTTTAAATATTGCAACATACACGTACTTGGAAAGAATGGCTTACTGGGATTTTAAGACACTGTACATGTGACATAAGTATGTGGCACATCCCAAATTGTAAATAATGTTTTTGCTGCTGGTTACATAGGCAATATGGGATATATGGGTAATGTGCACTTGCAGTCCACGTTGGTCTAACAAATTAGTATTGCAGTTTAAAATAAGAATATGGAAATGTCAGCATGAAAATAACTAATGGTGTTCCGGATGCCTATTTCTAGAGCATAAGCATATTGATTCTTCTTTAGCTACTGGGATGGAATTTTTATTTATTTATTTTTTTTAAGAGGAACTGATATTGCTATTCTTAGCTTTTGATGCAACCAATCATGCGCCCCAGGCATGGTGAATACAATAAAACCTCACAATATCGCCGTTGTTTGCTTTATCTATTTCATCAGCTTATGTGTAACTCTTGTTTGTCATCTGGTTGATTAATAATAATTGCATTAATTAATTATGCCTAGGTAAGCTCTTAGACAGTAGCTAGCGTAAGTGAGTATCACAAGGTGATGTCAAATTACTCAATAACAATGGATGGATACATTTATCTTTCACTGGTTTTCAACAAAGCCCTAGGCTTTAATTGTTATAACTCAAGTATGTTATTAATCTTGGAAGGATAGATGAATAACATGTTTGTACCTATGGTCTTGAGTTATCTATCCAAACTGATGTGGCAACTGGTTGTTCCGAACCATGTTTCTGAATTTCAAATAGGCATCTCTATTCATGGATCTTTTAAGAGGTACTCCAAGCACCATAACCACAAAAGCTCATTGTAGTGGTTAAGGTGCAAGAAAGCAGTGCATGCCATCATTCAGATTTTTGGTGGCATCATTTCAAAGTGGCTTGAGTTTTATCCCACAGAAGTGGAATGAGGAACTAGCAGTAAACAAGAGGTTGGAGTCTGGTGCAGAAGCAACAGGGAGAAGAAAATTAATAGCGAGCTGGGGAGTATAATGAAAGAGAGAGAGAAGAGGTGGAAAAAACAAGTTTTAGCCGAAGTGTTCTCTCAGACTTTCACTGGTTTCCATTAATGGAAAGAAGAGAAACATTTCTTGATGCAGCACTTCATACATTTTACCCAGTATTATCATAAAAGTAAAAGGAAGAATCATTTTCTTTTACATGGAAAGAAACCAATAAAAATATGATATTATAATTTATAAAGACTATCATAACCTGAAGGTGTGAATTGTAGCTCATACCGAAGCTCTTGAATCATGTCAATAAGACCTTACCACTCATCACCGGGATAATACAAGCCTTTCACACTTCTTGGAAGCTACCAATGAGGTGTCAAAATCTTAAAAAGACAAAATGGCACCTGTTTGAAGTGCTGAAAACAATGTACATTAAACAAAATATAAAACCAAAATGTACCAATACTAAACTAAATGTAAAATGGATCATCCATGCTTTTTTTCCAACATATACTCATATATAATTGAAATCCAATGCATTTACCAGAAGTGGAGTTTATGGTAACAGACACAGCTTGTGGGAACATTGGAAACAAAATTCCATTACTCGTCATGCATACTTGCAAAGCAATGGAAGAATAAAAGCCTGCTTAATGAAAAGGCAAATAGTCAATAAACTAAATGACAAGAAGATTAACAAGGAACTGAAATGTATGAGTCATCATCTCACCGTTTACCTTTCTTATCTTTCTATGGTACTGATGACTGTCCTGTGGATAAATAATTTTTTATTTTTTTTAAATTAAATTGTAAGATACCTTAGCAATTCATAATATAAACATAGGGCTTTTGGGGGGACACTTGTAGAAGAGGCTGATGATAGACTCACTTTGATACACCTGTCCTGCTATCTATCAAGCCTATCAAATTCCTATGATTTGAACAGCCTCTAGAGATATTACCTTTAGACCTTAAAGGGACACTCCACTGCACAAATACAAAGTAAAAAGAAGTCACTGTTTAGTGTATATATACACCCAAAACAAAACTTTTTCTTTTTCTTTATTAAAGCATTTTTTTTCATTGGAGTTATATCAATGCTGTCTTTGCAAGCCCTCTCCTTCTAATCCAACCCAGACTTTATGTGACTGTTCAATTACAGACTTTCCAATGCAGCTCAATGAGAAGTCTTTGCAAGGCAGTTGCTCTGGGCAATTCCTGCCTCTTGCGTTCAGTGCAACTAAGCAAACCAAACTAAAAAGTAACAGTACTTGATGTCTGCTTGACCATTATAATTTATAAATGAGTCAATTTCTATTGAAATCTGCACTATTTCCAAAAAGGAAAGAAGAGTTCACACAAAGCTTTTCAGCAAGCTAAAGTGCTTTAGGGTACTGGAGTGTTCCATTAAGGGTAGAGATGTCTCAGTCAGCCCCTAATGTTCAATTCCATAAAGGACTCACTGCAATTGTTTTCCAGATGGTGGGACTTGGAGTAACACATGTCAAAGCAGTGCAGTCATACACAGACTTTAATGCTTTATAGGATTCAGATAATGTCTTTTTTTTTCTTTACTCGTTACATTTTCTGAACCTTTACTATAAAACAAGATGTGAGCATGGCATACAGGCTCACTGAATAGAGCTTGTTCTTTTCTACTAGCCTACATTTTGCATGTCATTAAAACAGGAGTGCTCAAAAAGGTAGATCCCCAGATGTCCTGAGGTTAGCTAAAGGCTGGCAAAGCATTATGGGAGTTGTAGTTCTAAAACATTTAGGAATCTATATTTTGGGCATCTCTGCATCAAGCTTGAATGCTTGGCATGCAGGTAAACTCGCTAAATAAGGTAAACTTTGAAATGCAAAGTATGGCTTCCAATGCCACATCAGCATTAGATATATGTTTATATTGAATAGCATACAGCTTATGACCTGTAATAACCAGTATATATTTGTGTAGCTTAATGCTCCTATGAGCTGAAGTGATTCAATGTATTACAGAATTAAGAATGTTATTGTGATTCTTTTGATTTTTTCCGTTTTGAGTTTCTTAACCCCAGTTTATCAACATTACTAACAATTCTGGCTAAAGTTAAACCTCTACAAAAGCCTGTATGGTTGTCATGATTTAGCACTTTTCATGTGTTAGAAGTGGAGAAAAACTCCAGTAGGGTTGTTTTAACAGTTCACTGTGGCGTCTAAAAGATAATATTTGTTCATGTCTTACCTGGTTTGAATGCACATAATTTAATATGATTCTTTCCTACTGAATCAATATCACTTTGGTGAAAGATAGCCAACCTGTTTTTTTCTCTCTCGTTTATTTTATTTAAAGGCTGAAGCCTCTACGGCCAGTTAGTATCCAGGGTCCAACTGTAACGTTATGCCAAGGCATGTTACCAGGTATGTTGCAGTGCCCAGTGGACAGAAACACTTTATTACTCCACAGACCCACCATATTGTATTGAATAAACATAATATGGCTGCCAAAGTACGTGAGGTAATGTTTAATGTCAACTGTAAGTTGTTTTCTTAAACACTTTTTTCCTCTTCCATTACCACAGACTGCCTTAATATAATGTATTTTTATATTGCACAAAGTGGGGATAGTTATTTCATTTACCAACAATTGAAGCTGTATATATGCATTTAATAGTAATAATTAATAAATAGTCTTTAATCTTCAGCAGTATATCCCCAATACAATTGAAATGTTTGGTTTACCAGTACTATATATACATTGTTGTCTCCTGTCTTTGTTCATTACAGAAAGGGTGCAGACAAAACCAGGTTTGGGTGGTCTGACCAGAATAAAACACTAAATTGTGGATGGAAAATTGCATAGAAGAGCTCCAGGATGTCTGTGCAATTTGATGTCGCCTACATGTCACCTAAATTTATATCTGGTCTGAAAGATGAGTGAAGTGGAGGCATGTCATAAGCAAAATCAGACTAAACTGCTTTCCTCATACTTAATATAAGAAACAAGATTGTTGTTGCTTTGGGAAAGACAATTTTGACGTCTCTGTGATGTGCACCATTTTCGAAGTTCCAGCTGCATGGTACAAAATGGATGTACATAAAAGCTGCATAATAATTATTGAAAAACAAAAACAATGTATATAGGTATCTTTTATTAATCTGATTATCCAGAATATGTTAACTGTATCATGTGCTGCTTGTTTTTTTTTCAGTGTTAATTATGTATCGAGGTTCTGTTAATTAAATTTAACATAGGTATCAGATGTTTTGAACATATTCACTAAATATCGATTTATTCCTAAAGCTTTGACCAAAATGCTTCACATTTCGGTGTTCAAAAATTTTCAAGTGAAAAATAACCACATTCCTGCAAACATGTTTAAGCGAGCACGCTCAAGTGTGCTTGCCTGACAGGAGGTGAGGTACTCATAACGATTTCTTTGCAGAAGGGCGCCACAGGGCATTGGTGATTTCTATATTGATAGAGGAAAATACCTTTTGCCTTCACAAATCTAGATCGAATAGATCTAAGAATGCATCAAATGTCTGGATGGAATTGGTCAACCGTAATTTTTAGCCAAAGGGTTACTCCAGTCATAACTCATTTAGTCCAGAGGTGAATGATGTCCTTAAACACACAGATAACTTTTTCCAGTCTGAAATAATGGACATTTTTTGAAATGTAATACTTAGGAGGATGGTCCAATGAAACCTATTTTTTTACATTACTTGTCTACCAACACACCAAATACAGAAGCATACACCAGAAACTATTGGTCTGAGATGAAAGAAAATAGATTGTTCAGAAATACCTGGATATAGATCCTGAAGGCCTGTGAAATGGTTTGAATGAGGGGACGGGGAGAATGACAATGTCAAAACATTGTAACACATTGTTCGGTGACCCACACACTATAAATCTTAATGCCAGTACAGGTTTGCAAAGCCTCACTAACTTGTAATACAGTCAACTTGTAATACAGTCATAGACGGGTTGACTAAAATTGCCTTTCAATCACTTAGGGAACATTAGGGTGCCCAAAGTCAAATTTGAGTGATAAAAGGGAAGAATCGTAGGGTATACATGAGAGGGAGAGGTCTTAGAGGTCAAGTAGGAATTCTAGCAGACTTGATAATGGTCTACATAGGATGGTTTTTATGGTATCACTGCTTTGAGGTTCAACGGTTTACTTTAAGTTTTGTATTTGGAGGAGAACACACACCAAGTATCCAAAGACTTTTGAATACCTTGCTTTATAAGGTAGGAGCTATATTGATTACGTTTTTCATCTTGGTCTGTACTTTCCAGATATCTTTTACGAGCGTGAATCTATATCCCATTAGTAAGGACTAGTTTAATGTGCTGTATCTGAAAAAAGAAAAAACAAAACTACCAGTAGATGTCTCCTGGTTGAATATGGTAAAGCAGTCACAATAGTGATGGTCTAATAGGTATAGTAGTCATAATAGTGGTTGTCACAATTTTGGCGAAAAAAATATAAAACATAATTTTTAATAGATAAATTCTAAAAATGGTCAAAATAAAATAAAAAAAGAGAAGCAAAAACTGGGTATTCGGTCCTGTGTAGGAAATGTAATCTTGCTGTAACAGCACTAAGCATTCTTGATCTGTCTAACTGACAGAGAGAAACAAAGTATCACAAGATAGAACATCATGAAAAAATGTATGTTACACAATTTGTACAATGCTGGTAGGGGGAGAGGTGAAAACTGTCACTGTTAGATAGACTCTCCTGCAGAAAGAGTCAAAAAATGGTTTAACTGTCTCAATTATAATGTGTACAGAGAAAGGATAGGGGGCACTCCCAGGACCTACATTTTGCATGAAAGGTGCTGCCGCAGTGACCAAACTTCATACATGAGAGAATAAATAGTTGTGGCGCACTCAGACTACAAAAAATATAACACAAAGAAGGCTACTAAAATGCCTATCTGAAAATAAATATGGGGATTTGGTTCCACCATATGGCCATATGTTGTTAAGCCCACCACCACTTACAAAGTACCCCAATATTGGTGGGTCCTACACTAACATGTGGGGGACAAATTAAATAGTACTAGTGTTGAAAAGTGTTAAATTAAATCCTAGTAAGAGCATAGTGAGTATACAAAAATAAGTGATGAAAGCAATTTAAAACAGTGTTAAAACTTAACAATTAATGTGTCAGTGCTAAAATGAGTATACTCACTATTGCAGATGATATCTGTGCTGACTGGAGAAAATAATAAAAGTGAACTGACTATTGAAAAACTCCTCCTATATATACACACCTGTGGCCACCTCTAAAGGAGCCTCTGAAGCTGGGGGGCCTGGGCGGGGTGCTTAACCCCTAAGGAATCTGGTCTGGATTCCAAATATACTGTGTACAGAAAAGGATAGGGGGCACTCCCGGGATCTACTATTTATTCTCTCATGTATGAAGTTTGGTCACTGCGGCAGCACCTTTCATGCAAAATGTAGGTCCCGGGAGTGCCCCCTATCCTTTCTCTGTACACATTATATTTGGAATCCAGACCAGATTCCTTTGAGGTTAAGCACCCCGCCCAGGCCCCCCCAACTGAGACACTAGTGGACACAGGGACACTAGTGGACACTGAGACACATGGGGACACTGTGAGACATAGGGGCATAGGGAGACACAGACATTGGGACACGGAGACACAGTGTCCCCATGTCTCCCAGTGTCTGTGTCCCATGTCTCAGTGTCCCCATGGCTCCCAGTTTCCCCTAGTCTCCCAGTGTCTGTTTCCCCATGTCTCCCAGTGTCCCTAGTGACTCTGTATCCCTGGGTCTCTCAGTGACATGGGGACACAATGAGACATGGGGACACTGGGAGAAATGAGAACACTGAGAGACTAGGGAACTGGGCGACATGGGGACACTGACACTGTGATACATAGGGACACTGAGAGACTGGGTTACTTGCGAGACTGAGACACTGGGAAACAGGGAGACACTGGGAGCAATCCATCTATACAGCAGAATCAAACTGTGAGTAGTTTGTTGGTTATTTTACAGAATTTTCTCTTATGTCACTCCTTGTGATTTACATCATGTGATGTCACGCATAACTAATTAATTATACAAATGTGTAAGGCTGGTATTTTTTTCCAAGAAAGGTGGCAACCCTAACTACTCTTCACATACTCTTGCTTAAAGGAACACTATTGGGTCAGGAATACAATCATGTATTTCTGAACTTATCATGTTAAAACCACCATTTAGCCCCCCTGCCCCTCTTGCCTCCCTAAATATAGTAAACTCTTACTTGTATTCAAGTCTGCAGCTGCTGGCTCTGTCAATGTCTGCCTCTGAACTGACTCTGTCTGCTGACATCATCAGAAGTGGTGGTCTGAGCAAATTACAATGCTTCCCCATAGGATTGGCTGAGACTGTCAACTAAGCAGATCAGGGGCAGAGCCAGCACAAGTCAAACATAGCCCTGGCCAATCAGCATCTCCTCATGAAGATACATTGATTCAGTGCATCTCTATGAGGAAAGTTCAGTGTCTGCATGCAGAGGGTGGAGACACTGAATGGCAGTGCTGTACACTAGGCAGTACTGCCCCAGGAGGCACCTCTAGCAGCCATCTAAGGAGTGGCCATCAGAGTTATTTTCTCTGAAAAGACAGTGTTTACTGCAAAAAGCCTGGAGGGAATGATTCTACTTACCAGAACAAATACAATAAGCTGTAGTTGTTCTGGTGACTATAGTGTCCCTAGTTTGGAAGCTTAAGAGGGATGCATGGGAACAAAACCTGTGTGGACTGGCTGACAATAAAATTAGTTTAGATAATGCAGACTTTGGTCTCTCTAACACTGTGGCGTGTCCCCTTTCTTCTACACTCGCTACATACACATTTTCTCTGTCCCAGACTATATACCAGGAACTTCTGCCTGCTAGTAAGATGATAAGGAGACAAGTGGACATGTGAGTGCTAGGGGACAGTCCTTAGAAAGCGTGGAGTAGGCGCATCATTTGATGCATTTATGTCAGGTTCAGGGTGCTGCCTGCATAGTATGCCTTTAGTTGGACAGCCTGCATGATTCAAGCCAGGCTGGCCTTCTAATTCTTTGGACAGACATGCCCCCTTTTTGGGCATGTTCACCCCTTTTGGCAGGTCTGGTCACATGATTTGCGCCAGTTGCACACCCTTTTACCCTGCACATTGACTTCCTGCTTCACTGGACACTGCAGTTAGGGGATATGGATTTACTTGAAAGATGAAAACATAAATTAGAGAGAGATTAGCATAGAGTATGTGAGTAGCTGCATCCTTTGAGTTTCCCTCCAACACCATCTCCATCAGATACATGATGCTTGGGAGGTATGATTGTTTTAGTGTTTTTGGTCGATAAGATTCTGTAAATAGGCCCATCATAATTGTCAGCACTAGGCCCACTGGGCTTTTAATCTGGCTTTGAGTTGACCACTGATGTAGGACTCATGTGCAGTGTAGCAGATAGACCTAAGGTGGCACCAGTGTGGGACTCGTACGTAATAATTAGTGCACTAGTTTGAACAACTGGCTGGACTCCAATAAGGGAGTCAAAAAGGGAGTGTATATAGAGTACCTATCAGAATAAGGAAAGAAGAAAAAAATATATAGCTGTAAAAACTAGATTCTGCAATTAGCAAGGATACATATAAATGCTAGTAAAGACAAAAAATGGAGTGTCCATATCAGCCCTAGATACAATTGTTTGGGATGTGGTGATTTTTATAGTTGAATTGGTGTTTAGGTAACGGATCATCGCCAATTTAGCTACTGGAGCAGGACTCTTGCTTGATGCTAAGGTAATAGGGAAACCAGAGGAGGCTGTTAGCTTTAATATTGCAGAAGATTGGGGCGTGTCCAACTTCCGGCAAGATCGGTCGCATGGAGTAGGAGCTCCGCACCACCCGGACCAGATTAAACACTATTAACGAGGAAATCTCGCCGGATTACCCTGAACCAGCGGGGGACAAGGCTACACGGCTCCTAATGTCTCCCTCAAAACAGATGAAACTTACGGACGCGGTCCGCCAACATAAGAGGGAAAGACTGAAGCAGGCCCAAGATGGCGCCGCCAGCAGAGCTCAGTCTCCGGACCCTGACCCCTGCACCGAGTCGCCCACGCACTCGCTATCAGACGACTCACAATTCTCAAAGGAATATCTTAGACAAGTGCTCGCGGACCTCGGGTCCACTATTAAAGAGGATTTCACCACCTCCTTGGCGGGCATCCACCAAGAGCTAGAGGAGCTGGGTGACCGGACCGATCAGGTCGAACGCAAAACTGATGATCTCTCCTCTGCCCACAATCTGATGGCGGATAGAATACAGAAACTAGAGGAAGATAATATCAAATTATGGCATAAAATGGCGGACATGGAGGACCGCTCTCGCAGGAACAACGTGCGGTTCCGGGGAGTAGCAGAGTCCATATCAACAGACCAGATCTCGGCCTACATCACCGCACTAAGTACACCGCTGGTCCCTGACCTCTCAGATGTAACCTGGGAACTGGACAGAGCCCACCAGGTTCCAAAACCGCCCAGATTTGGCGCGGACGTTCCGCGCGACATTATCGTGCGCTACCATCACTTTAAAGCCAAGGAGGCTCTTCTTAAGGCCGCTAGAGCCCAAGCCACATTTCCCGACCCATATAACGCTGTCTCTATTTTTGCGGACCTATCGGCCCTCACTATGGCAAGACGCAGAGAATTCTCCTCCATTACCAAAACCCTACGCAACCACAATCAGGCTTATCGCTGGGGATTTCCTACGAGACTACTGATCTGGCGGCAGAATAAGCTCCACATTATAGATGACCCCCTGAAAGGTCTATCCACGTTGAAACACTGGGGACTTTGGGGCCAACAAGAAACCACCCACCAACAACCGGACGCCTCGACCACCCTGAAGAGATCCCAGCCAGACTGGCAGATGGTTGGCGCTCGACGCTAACAGCCACCCCATCTAGGACAGCATCTCCCTGCCTCTACTCTTTGATGTATTCTACAGCCGCGCAAGAAGACACCATGCTGACTGTCGATGCCCTCGCCCGACACGGTCGTCAACCACCTACCCCTGAACTGTCTCCAGCTGGCTTATGCCTTACGCAAGGGCTCTAAGTCTATAGACCCCAGTTGCTACGAGTGGTATCGTATGAACATACACGGTGGCAAAATGTTTGATGAGGGTGTAGGGTGGGAGGGCATGAATAGTTCAAAAGTTGAAGGGAAAAGAAAAAAAAAAAAATGTATATAATATCCATTAAGTATTGCTCATACTCATGAGGGAGATCATGCATGTTTCACTGCTTTATCTGAGAAATGTTTAGCAAGGGAGTAACCCCCCCCTGGAAAATTGCTCTGTCACAATGTTCGTTCCTCCCTACGGAGGAATTTAGGCTCCCATGTGTACCACTTCATCCCTCCTGTACTCTAGTAGGCCCCAAGGCTAGGTCTCCCAAGGCCCCCCCCCCTCCCCATGGAACGCTAAGCACAAACATGGTCAAATGGTCGCCTCCTGAGAATTATGACTACGTCCTAAGATACACTATCGACCATGCTCAGCCTAACAGAGGGAAATATATATCACACAAAAAAAATAAAAAAATAAATAAAAACCCCTTCCACCAGTTAGCCACAGTACTCCCGGTTAAGTTACCATAAATCCGTTGCCCTTCTCCCCTACATTACCTCAGAGATTTAGAGGGGGCACAGGCGAGAATGCTGTCCAGGTTTCAGCCCCTCTCGCGCATATTCTCCTCTCCATTCCTGCCTACTCTGAGAATCTGGTCCGGGTGCGGTCCTGTTCCGCACGACCCCCCAAGGGTATCCGAGGTGTTTGGAGCTTTAGGCTCCCCTCTGGATCCCAGTATTTTCTCTCGTCCCAGAGAGTTAATGTATATACCTTTGTTTGTTGATTTTGTCTTTCCTGTTAATTCCCTTCCCATCCCCTTGGCAGCTACGTTGTCCCATGTCTGTGCAGGACGTATTCAGCCATCTGATCTTCCCTTATTCTACACTACGCACCACCTAACCACAGGTCCCATGAGTGTCGCTGGCAGACAGTATGCTGTGACTAACAAGCTCATAGAAACATAGAAACATAGAAACATAGAATGTGACGGCAGATAAGAACCATTCGGCCCATCTAGTCTGCCCAATTTTCTAAAAACTTTCATTAGTCCCTAGCCTTATCTTATGGTTAGGATAGCCTTATGCCTATCCCATGCATGCTTAAACTCCTTACTGTGTTAACCTCTACCACTTCAGCTGGAAGGCTATTCCATGCATCCACTACCCTCTCAGTAAAGTAATACTTCCTGGTATTATTTTTAAACCTTTGTCCCTCTAATTTAAGACTATGTCCTCTTGTTGTGGTAGTTTTTCTTCTTTTTAAATATAGTCTCCTCCTTTACTGTGTTGATTCCCTTTATATATTTAAATGTTTCTATCATATCCCCCCTGTCTCGTCTTTCCTCCAAGCTATACATGTTAAGATCCTTAACCTTTCCTGGTAAGTTTTATCCCGCAATCCATGAACCAGTTTAGTAGCCCTTCTCTGAACCCTCTCTAAGGTATCAATATCCTTCTGAAGATACGGTCTCCAGTACTGTGTACAATACTCCAAGTGAGGTCTCACCAGTGTTCTGTATAATGGCATGAGTACTTCCCTCTTTCTACTGCTAATACCTCTCCCTATACAACCAAGCATTCTGCTAGTATTTCCTGCTGCTCTATTACATTGTCTGCCTACCTTTAAGTCATCAGAAATAATCACCCCTAAATCTCTTTCCTCATATGTTGAGGTTAGGACTCTATCAAATATTCTGTACTCTGCCCTTGGGTTTTTACGTCCAAGATGCATTATCTTACACTTATCCACATTAAATGTCAGTTGCCACAATTCTGACCATTTTTCTAGTTTACCTAAATCATTTGTCATTTGGCTTATCCCTCCTGGAACATCAACCCTGTTATATATCTTAGTATCATCAGCAAAAATACATACCTTACCATCAAGACCTTCTGCAATATCACTAATAAAAATATTAAAGAGAATGGGTCCAAGTACAGATCCCTGAGGTACTCCACTGGTGACAAGCCCAAGCTTCGATTATACTATATTGACTACAACCCTCTGTTGCCTGTCACCCAGCCACTGCCTTACCCATTCAACAATATTGGAATCCAAACTTAAAGATTGCAGTTTATTGATAAGCCTTCTATGTGCAACAGTGTCAAAAGCCTTACTGAAATCTAGGTAAGCAATGTCTACTGCACCACCCTGATCTATTATTTTAGTTAACTAATCAAAAAAATCAATAAGATTAGTTTGGCATGATCTCCTGAAGTAAACCCATGTTGTCTCTGATCTTGTGTTTTAGATGCTCAATAATCCTATCCTTTAAATGGTTTCAATACTTTCCCTTACTACTGAAGTAAGGCTTACTGGCCTATAGTTGCCCGACTCCTCCCTATTACTCTTCTTGTAAATGGGCACAACATTCTCAAGTAATCTCCAATCTTCTGGGACTACTCCTGTTAACAATGATTGGTTAAATAAATCTGTTAATGGTTTTGCTAGTACACCACTAAGCTCTTTTAATAGCTTTGGGGGTGTATTCCATCAGGTCCCATTGACTTATTTGTCTTTACTTTTGACAGTTGAAATAGAACCTCTTCCTCTGTAAACTCACGTGTAATAAATGACTCATTTATCCTTTCTCTCAACTGAGGTCCCTTTCCTTCATTTTCTTCTGTAAATACAGAACAAAAATATTCATTGAGGCAGTCAGCCTGACCTTTATCCTCTTCTACATACCTTCCTTCTTTTGTTTTTAATCTAACTAATCCTTGTTTTACTTTTCTTTTCTCATTTATGTATCTAAAAAATGCTTTATCCCCCTTTTTTACTGACTGTGCTATTTTCTCTTCTGTGTGTGATTTGGAAGCTCTTATAACTTGCTTAGCCTCTTTCTGCCTAATCTTATAGATCATTTTGTCTTCCTCGCTCTGTTTTTTTTTATAATTACTAAATGCTAACTTTTTGTTTTAACTATTTTGGCCACATCT